AAGGTCCTCTTACTTCAATGTGATACTTTATCATTGTTCCTCAATTATTTGGTGAAAATGCCTTCATCATAAAAGCCATAATTTAATCAATTGATTTGTGATTTTTTTTCAACTGTCCCTTTATCAGTTCAATCTGAAAACAAACCTTTATTTAAAGGCTTATCAGTAAAGATATTTCACTTGAGTGAAGGCTTATCCTTTTAGAATTCATGTAATAGTGATTTTTGGCATTTTTATCTGGTGGATGGTTCTAGTAATCCTCCTATTTAATCAACATCTTACATTTGCATGTAGTGTTGCCATGCATCTTTCCTGGCTTTCTAGAGATTTTTAAAGTGTTCTCTCTCATACATTTTTATTGCCTCTGCTGAGTATAAATTGAACTAATTGCACATCTATGTTCTATCTAATCAGTTATACTTCTCAATCAAACCATTGGAACCTGTGAAGTCCCTTTTCCCATTGTGCAAAAAGGGAACAGTTCTGTTCTGTAACTTTTTTTAATATGTAATTTGCCCACAAAGTATTTTTAGTCTTTTTAATAGCATAAGCCTTGTTGTGAAGTCTTGTTGTCGTCAGCAATTGACTTTCAACTGCAAAGTCTATGTTTTTTATGTCTTTGAACTTAAGAACAAAATGTTTTGGTTCTGAAATATAAGCTTTTACAGTTTTGGTGTATTTAAAATCCAACTAAACAATTTTTCTGAATGATATCATCTTAATGTAAACATTCTCTGTAAAGAGAGAGTGGGGGGATGGGGTAGTTATTAGAAATCTGTAATAAGAAAAGTTTTTAGAAACACTGTAGATCATCATCTCAGGCTTGCTGCAGTGCTCCAGCGAAACTCAGCACTAGCTGGAAGAACAGCATCTCATTTTCCATTGGGGACCCTACAGCCTTCAGGACTCAGTATTGAATTGAATAACTTTTAGGGCCTGAACACCAACTTCTATGTCCTTTACCCACTCCCACACCCCTGGTCTGTCATGACGTGGACTGCCTTCATCATAGCCAACCCATTTTTATCATCTAATGGTGCCTAATTATCAGCTTTTTCTTTTCTCCCTGGGTCACCATGATTCCCACCACTGCCATCCTCCCCATACACCACAAACCTCCTGTCTTCAGCACATAAACTACCTCCACTTTTTAATAGGGGCAATTAGCTCTGAAAAAGGGTCACTGGATCTGCAATTCTAACTCTGATTTCTCTTCTGAGATGTTGCCAGACCTTTTTATTTTCATTCATGGGATGAGGGCATCGCTGGCTAGGCAGCTCTTATTGACCATCTCTAATTGCCCAGAGGGCAGTTGAGAGTCAACAACATTGCTGTGGATCTGGAGTCACATGTAGGCCAGACCAGGTAGGGATGGCAGTTTCCTTTCCTAAAGGGCATTAGTGAACCAGATAGGTTTTTCCTGACAATTGCTTCATGGTCATCACTAGATTCTCAATTCCAGATATTTTTTGAATTCAAATTCCACCATCTGCTGTGGCGGGATTCGAACCTGGGTCCCAGAATGTTATCTGGGTCTCTGTGTTAACAGTCCAATGACGATACGAGGCCATTGCCTTTCCTATGGACCTGCTAAATTTCTCCAGCAATTTCTGTTTTTGTTGCATTTGAGAAAAAGAACTTGGGCTGGATCTTATCCTTTTTTTTTGGCTAAGTTGTATCAAGCTGTTTTTTTAAGGTTTATTTGCTGTGAGGCCTAGTGATTTCTTGCTGTTTCTGGACAAATTTGCCTCATTTAAGTATTTTTCCTTCCCTTGTGATATCTCTTTTGTCCAATGCTATCCCATTTTACTGTGGGTCATTTTCGGAACAGCTCACTGGTGCCGGGATATCGCAGATTTGACTGGAGTCTGTAGTGTTGGAGATGTCATTTAAAGGCTGGAGTGCACCTGGATGAGCACTGTCAGTCTAGAGCTACCCTGCACGGTTCCTGATGTTTGCTCTAGACATGGCAGACAAGAGAAATTTGTCACCCTCCTTTTGCTGGTAGGGACCTGGAGGTGCATAGTATTGATGTCCTCTCTTCCCAGGACCAACAGAGGGGGCCCCAACACCAGACCATGCCAATCTGGCCCGAGGCTGCCAACCAGTACAGTTCAGTCTTGGCAGTTTAGAGGAATGCACAGCAATGTAAGGAGAAGGTCAATATGCGCTGCAACATCTTCCCTCACTTGCTATTACCTGCTTTAACTTCCGACACCCCTTTGCGTCCTCTGCACTGCCTATTCGCTTGCTCAGGACACCTCCCCACCTGCATCAAAAGTGACAGCTGTGCCAGCCACTTTCTTCTCCCTTAATACCTGCCTCTTATGATCCAGGAGGAAAACAGACCAAAATAGAGCAGGACTACTGACAACCAGGATCAGCTTCCTGGCTTGGGCTGTGTGAAACAGCCTGGCAATACAGCAATACCTTGAACCTGGCTCCTCTGGCTGAGGGGGCAAAGTGCAAAAAGACAAACGGGATGCTGAGAGTTAGCTGGTGAGTAGGCTTAGAGAGTTAGTGAGTGTTAAGTCAGCAAGAGAGGGTCCCACAGATGCAACCAGATCCAGTCCATGACCTGGAAGTGTGTTTGTGAGCACACTGTGTCCTTGCTGTTGCATTACAATGCTAGCTGCTGCTTCAGCAGTGAAGCAGAGAAGCATACTTTTGAGTGGATTGGAGATGTCTCTTGCAGATTTCTGCAGGCTGTCATATGTCAGATGCCAATGTATGTGGGTGTGAGGTGTAGTTGGTATCCATGGAGCATGCGATGCTGCATGGGAACATCGAGAGGCGATGGTCTAGTGGTATAATTACTGGACTGATAATCCAGAGACCCAGATAACATTCTGGGGATCCAAGTTTGAATCCCACCAAGGCAGAGGGTGGAATTTGAATTCAATAAATTTCTGGAATTAAGAATCTAATGATTACCATGAATCCATTGTCGATTATCAGGAGAAACCCTTGTGGCTCACTAATGTCCTTATCTGGTCTGGCCTACATGTGACTCCAGACCTATGTGACTCTGAAATGCCCTCTAGGCAATTAAGGATGCTGCCTAGCCAGCGATGTCCTCATTCCGTTAATGAATAAAGGGGGGAAAAAAAAAGAAAAATGCCCTAAGATGTTGGTGCCTAGTTTCCAACATGGACGTTCTTTGGAGTAAGTGGTGAACTGAAGTTGCCAGGCACCCACTCTGACTTTGTTGAGAATTCCCAACATCATGCTTTCTTGGTGCATTTGCTAAGAGAAGAAGCTGAATATTAATGAGCTGATTTATAGTGTTAATAAGGTTACTAACAAGCTGTAATCCCCCTGATTGGCAACTTGCCTTGTGTAGCGGGAAACTCTGCTCTCCACTCAAAGGTGTAAAAGATGCAGAGGGCTGTTCCATATGTTAAAATAGGCCTCGTGGGACCTCTTGTGCAATTCTGCCACAAATCCCACTGTAGCCCATGCAGTTCAGACCCCTATAAGATTCTGCCTCCTGTTTTTGTAGTTAATTGTGTATGTTGTTACGACTGGTCCCCAGGCAAGGGTCTAGTTCATTATGGTTTTTGGTGAGGAAATAGGCTTCCTTTCACTATTTGACTCCCCCTCTCTATTGACCACAAAATATTAACTTAAAACATTTTTTTATTTTTGTGGAGACTTTTCCTAGTTCCAATGTATTTGTTTTAAATGGAGCCAATTTAGCCAGGCTTTCATGATTTAGAGTTTATTGGTTACTAAAATGGGATAAAACAAAACACAGATTAGAAATGAGTAAAAAAGTTGAGGTTTCAAAAATAAAAAGAAAATACAAATGAGTCTTCAGTTTGCCTGAGAAGTCGATGGCTGTTTTAAGTTGTGTACAGTGGGAATTAAGTAAGATTTTACGAAAGGTGATTCCAACACGAGTAAAGTAACAGCTTTTTTATAAGTTAGGCTGTAAAGTGCTGTAAGGCACATTTTAAGGTGTCACATAGGTTTATGATGCTAAGTGTCCATGTCAGCAGAAATGACTATATAGGAACCTTGTACACCCAAAGGCCTGTATCGACCTTGACAACAAACTAGACTGTATAAAGAGATTGCTAGAAACAGTATAAGAGACTGAAAATGAAAGATTTCTTGCTGTCCTCATTTCTTTCTGTACAATGCATGTATAATGACTAATGATTTTCTGTTTGTATCAGATGGACACCGGGCTGAGATTGGACGGACAAAGTTAAACAAAGTTTAGCCAGCCTAAGACTAAGATTGTTTCAATAAACACCAATTTAACCTGAACACCTGAGTCCTCCTGTGGCCTTGTTTAAGGAGAATAACCACAACAGCTGATCTAGTGCCATTGACTGACTAACTATGTGACAGTCGAACAATTGATTTGGTGATTCTGGCTTCAGCAAATTTTGTGAGGAGTTGTCTAGTTTGTTCTATTATGTCTTCAGACTGAAGACTTGCTTCCAGCAACTGGATTTCTGTCCTTTTTTTTTCCCCACTTGCAAGCAAAAGAATGGCCGGTAGATGTTTTCAGTAATAATCCTCACCGCATGCACTAGCCCACTAGCACTAGAACATCAGACTAGGCCACACAACTGGTTTTTAACCCCTTCTCTTGTCTGTGTCCTTCCAGGAGCACACACGTCTGTTCATCCAGATTACTTTCTTTTATCTAATTATTGTAATAATCTGACAATGTAACTCACAGAAGGCGATTCAGGTTTTTGTATTGTGTATTTCCTTCAGAAATAATCTTTCTGAAGTTTCTCAACACCTTTTTTAGGGTATAATATTCCAGAATACCTCTCAAAGCTAAGAGTAATCCACACAGGAATTTTCTAAATAGTTCCTGAATTGCATTCCCAGCCTTTTAAACAAAAAAAGTAGCCTGTCTTTCTTAAGTTCAATACGCTTGTAAGTAACTCAGGTCTTTAATTTGCTGTTGTGATAAATATTATAATTTGATACACTGTTGTGTCATTGTTTTAACGGATAATGTTTTGTGTCTCCAGGTCTTGCTCCAAGCACAAAAAGAACTGCTGGATTACAAGGGACTTGGAATTAGTGTTCTAGGTGAGCCTACAAGTCTCTAGGTTATGTTAACAATGCCATCATGTGTTCATACTCTAACTCCATCTCTTCTCCTTTGTTTCAAACAGAAATGAGCCACAGATCTTCAGACTTCATCAAAATTGTCAACACAACAGAAAATGATCTGCGAGAACTACTGTAAGGAGAACTTAGATTCACATACTGTAAATAAAAGTTTACACAATATAACACCATTTTCACAACCGCCCTGATTTTTATTTTGTAGTTTACAGGCCACGAAAATACTTTTTGGAAATGTGGTCATTCTGATGTAAAAAATAATAGCCGCTAATTGTGGAGTTGGTAAACTCCAACAAACGGCAATGTGATAACAACCAATCTTTTTCTTTTTTTCTATTGTGATGTTGATCTGAGAGAAATACTACCCAGGACATGGGATAACACCCCATCTCCCTCTTTGAAGCTGTGAAACGGGATTCTTCACCGTAGCAGGCATGTCATACCTTAGTTTAACATTTAATCTGAAGTTCACCACCTTTTTTAAAGTGAAGTGCTTCCTTAGCTCTGCACTGGAGTACCAGCTTGATGTTTGAACTTCAGACCAGAAATCTAATTTGAATCCAGCACCTTGTGATTTTAGAGGCAGTCTGTCTCCTATCTCAGCCATTGCTGACACAGTAATCAATGATCAATATTCCTAGTGAGAGTACAATTGAACATCGATGGATGATGTAATCTTGGAATAAATCAGTTGAACATTCTAAAAGGATATAAGAGCATGTGCCACGCTGGGGAGGTGATGTTGCAGTGGCAATGACACTGAATTAGAAATCCAGATATCCCAGGCCAGTGTTCTGGGGAACAATAACAGAAATTGCTAGAGAGACTCGGCAGTTCTGTTGGCATTTGTGGAGAGAAAGCAGAATCAATGTTTTGGGCCCCAAGTTGCCAGACCTGAAATTTGACTCACCATTAACTCCACAGATGCTGTCAGACCCTCTGAGTTTCTCCAGCAGTTTGTTTTTTGTTTCAGATTTCCAGCATCTCTAGGTTTTAATTCAATGTTTTGGAGGTGTAGGTTTGAATCTCACCATGGTGATGATGAAATTTTGAATTCAGTAAAAATCTGGGTTTTAAAAGAAAAACTAGCATAACACTTTCTTGTCAACAAAAGTCCCATCAGGTTCATTAATATCCTTTAGGGAAGGGAAACTGTCATTTCTGCCTTGTGTTGTCCAAATGCAACTCCAAACCCCACAGTACTGTGGTTGACAGGTAACTGCACTCGGGCATTTAAGAATGGGCAATAAATGCCTATCCAGTGGCACCCACATCCAATGAACAGTTTTTTTAAAAAAATAAAATCACTCTCCAATCACTTAATTGATACTTGCATACATTGATGGAACATGTAAAACATTTTAAGTGGCTAACCAGAGAATTTGTTTGCTGAATGAGAGTTTTTAACACACTTGCTATTTATACAGTCAGGGCAAGTTCAAAGCTTTCAGATGGCTGAAAATTTTGATAAATGTAAATTGTGAGCGAACTGTGTCAAACTTCAAAAGGACATTGACAAGTTGATGGAGTGGGCAGACAGGTAGCAGATGGTCCATGTGGTGGTGTGAGGTACAAAGAACATGAAGAAACTGTAGGGTGCTATTTGAGGGTATGCAAGAGCAGAGATCTGGATGTACATTTAGTCCTCGTTATTCACTGATTTGCTATCTGTGGATTTGTGTACTCATTGGTGCCTGTACCATATTGTAATGTACAGTATACTGCAATTGCTTCTCAAGATTACTCTGATAAATGTATGTGTATTTTTATGGTTTTAAAAGTTTTGTTAACCAAGTATTTTCTTTTGGGTATTTTTAATGCTTTAAAGTGTTTTTTTTATTTCAGGGTGTATTGCGTACAAAGGAGAGGGCCTTTAGTGGTATCTGCGTTTTTTTTTTTGTGACCAACAGAATTCTATGCCCTATCCATCTCTCTCATAATGAGGACTGAGTGTATATATGCAGATGTCATTTAAAGGTGACAGGATAGGTAGAGATTTTATTTTTAGAAATCGTATGGTATTCTAGACTTAAATTTGAGTATAAGAGATAAGGAGGTTGTGCTGAATTTGTATAGAACACTGTTTAGACCTCGGCTGGAGTATTGTGTACTACTTCAGGAGAGATGTAAATATATTGGAAGGAATTAAGTGGTTTATAAGAAGCTTCAGTTATGAGGATGGATTGGAGAAAGTGGGTTTCTTATTTCTTTGGCAAGAAGGCTGAGGGGAGATTTTAGAAGAATTTCTAAATCATGTGGCTTCTGGACAGGGTAGATAGGGGTGGATAAAACTGTTTTCACTCATGGATCAAAAACCAGAGAGCGCAGTCTTAATGTTTTACAAAAGAAGCAAATATGTGATGAGAATTCTTTTCTCGCTGAGTGCTTGTGGTCTTGAATGCATTGTCTGGAAATGTGGTAGAGGCAGGCTCAATTTGAGGCGTGTAAGAGGGCATTGGATAATTCTTTATATTTAAAGAATGTGCAGGGTTACAGGGAAAGGCAGGAGTCTTTCTGCACCATAACAATTTTTTTTTTCATAGAATCCCTACAGTGTGGAAACAGGTCCTTCTACCCAACAAGCCCACACTGACCCTCGGAGCATCCTGCCCAGACCTATTCCCCCATAACCCACCTATTCTACACGTCCCTGAACATTACAGGCAATTTAGCATGGCCAATCCACTTAGCCTGCACATCTTTGGACTGTGGGAGGAAACTGGAGCACCCGGAGGAAACTGAATTGCTGTATTGTCTCTGATTTTAAATGCAGCTCTACCAGCCTCCTCGGGTGGACTAAAAGTATCTCAAAGCACTTCTCAAAGATTAACGAAGTTGTGGCTGTTGCCTTTCCCTCTGTTCAAAACTGATTACTGTGTAGAAATATTTTTGTTTGCATTTGCTGATTGACTCCCCAGTTGCAGATGGTGTACTACCTGCACACTTGCAGGTATTGCAATGGCACGGGGCTCTGACAGCAATAAACACAACACCACCTTTTCTCTCTATCTCCTGCCCTCTGCCACTGTCACTTCTGCTTCCCTTCCCCATTCCTTTTGGCTTGACTGTCAGAGAATGAGATTGAATGGCAAGGGGAGCCTAAGGTTTTAGATGGTGAGTTGCAGACATAAACAATAGTAATGTTAATTTGGGAGAAATGGTGCGTGTAGCAGGGATGGGGGAACCAAGTGCTTGTTCAGTGGCAGGAATTGATGAGTGTATTCTTATTGGTATGAACTATGTCTCAATGGTGGGGGAAGGCCAAACCCCTCTGATAACTAATCCGAAACACCAGTCCCAATCTGTTATGGCGGGAGTAGAGGTTCCCTTCTACGAATTAAACCTGAAACACCCAGAGAAGCTCGCCTTGCCCCTCGTAATCTGTTAAGAGTAGTTAAATGAAAGGAATCCCTGATGTTCACTTTATAAGCAACAAGTAACAATTTATTTATTTAACCCTAATGGTGAGCAAATTAACAGAACTTCTAACAAATCGAACAATTCCCCTCTAACTACTAACTATTTCATAACAAAATAAGACTCTAATCATATAGTGTTCTGATAAACAGGTCCCGCTTATATAAATCCAAGTAATAAGAAAACAATAAATTAAAACTCAGTCTGTCAAAGCTCACATGGAATGTGTCTTCTGGAATGCTTTACCTTCTCCGTTGTCTCTGCAGTCATAAACACCTTCTGCTGATCCTGCTGTCAGGGATGTTTTCGCTGTAATTTCTTCTATGAGGACTCTTGGCTAGAAGTGCCATGGTACCTTTGGTGTTTTTCTTTTAAAAGTGAGCTTAATGATTTTGTGTGAGAACTAGGTTTATTTCTCAGATGGTATATTTGCTTTTGCTTCAGGTGGCAGTTGGCTGTCACCCCAACATTTTTTTTTGTTCCAAAGACACCCTTTTTTATATACCCCCAATGACACATCAATTTCTTATGATTGGTTTTGGGTTGTCAATTGACTTTCAACCACTGAGTGCTTGATTTTAAATTAATTGGCTGAGTCCAGCTTGTTGCCAAAAACACCAAAACAAGACTGCTGTTTTCAGAGATACTATAAACTGCAGATGCTGGAGTCAGAGATAACAGTGTGGAGCTGGAGGAACACAGCAGGCCAGGCAACATCAAAGGAGCAGGAAAGTTGATGTTTTGGGTCAGGGACCTTCTTCAGAAATGGTGTAAATTCTTTTTTGTTTGCATTTTCTTGTTGACTCCCCAGTTGCAGATGGTGTACTATCTGCACACTTGCAGCAGTGTTCCAGGTATTGCAATGGCACAGAGCTCCGACAGCAATAAACACATTCAGAAATTCTTCAGCCTGCCAACTGTAAGGTCTTTTAATACACTTGTTTCAATTTGGAGCTCTCTGTACAGTACTTAAACTTCTGACCACAGAAAAAGCACAATCTTTTACACACACTGTTTTTCCCACTATCACTTTTACAAACAAATTCTAACTTCCTGCCTTCTAATTCATGAATATTCTACACAACATCGTAACAAGTGCTTTTGTAACATTGAGATTGTTCGAGTAATTTGATATGTAGTGCTACAGTTGGGGGAACAGCTATTTAACCTTTGTGATCTTTCAACGCACTTGTCACTAAGATTATTAGTTTTCTAATTTTATTTCAAAGTTAATCTCAGCAAAAGTTTTTACGACAGTGTTTGGTGTTCTCCCTCAAGAAAGGAGAAGATTCATCTGTGTTTATGTATCTTTGATGCAGGAATATTCCAGAAAACTACAAAGTAATTTTTCTCCAGGGAGGTGGAACTGGTCAGTTCAGTGCTGTTCCTTTAAACCTTATTGGTTTGAAAGAAGAGAGGTGTGCCGATTATGTGGTGACTGGATCCTGGTCTGCTAAAGCAGCCATTGAGGCAGCAAAATATGGAAAAGTGAATATTGTTCACCCCAAGCTTGATGCTTACATAAGTAAGAACCTCTTGTTTAATTGATCCATTACAGCCAACTGGATATATAAGATCTTATTTTTCTTTCTTAAAAAAAACCCAAAAATCTTGTTTTCCAGCAATTCCAAGTCCAAGTAGTTGGAATTTGAATCCAAATGCTTCTTATGTTTACTATTGTGCCAATGAGACGCTGCATGGTGTGGAATTTCCCTTTGTCCCAGACACAAAAGGAACTGTGCTGGTCTGTGACATGTCATCATGTTTTCTTTCAAAGCCAGTAGATGTCTCCAAGGTAGGTCCTTTTTTCCCTTAACTTTCAAGACCACCTTTGTCTCTAAACTGCAGTGGGTATGCCTAGAAAAACTGTTCTAGTAAATAAAATACTTTTAGTTGCATGCAGGGATCAGGAAAAATGGTTTGGCTTATGAGAAAGGTTGGATAAAGGTGTATGAAAATGTGAATTGTTTTGAAAGAAAAAAAGGAGGTGGTTATAGCACGAGGATGGTGCTTTTAAGGTAAATGACAAAAGAACCGAAGAACCTGGCTGGGGAGAGAAAGGTTATAATCTTGAAAGGTGGTGGAAATATTAAAACAAGTATTCATTGAATTTCCTTTTTCACATTGTGGAAATACCTTGGACAAACTGAAGAATGAGTAGGGAAATGGAACATTTTTTCCCTTGAGCATGCACAAATATGATGGACTGAATTGCTTTTTGTGTTGTATCATTTTGAGTTGTTTGACAACCTTATCCTATTGTTCATGAGATGCAAAGTATGCTGCAAAATACACAGTTGTTTATTTTGATGTTCTTTAAGGTTGGTGTGGATGCTTGCATGAAAGGATAGATCATTGTATGTAACTGGTATTAACTATTGTCCTTTTTATATAGCGAATAATACAAGTGGAATCTAATAGCTGTAGATTATAGGACACTAAAGAGAATTCAGGGATATTGACAGTTTGCCGAAACTGCAGAATGCAATAACCACTAAGAAAGCTAACTTAGATCTGGGGTTTGGTGTTTTGTACTGGCCATGTTAAATAAGATAAAAAAAAATGGTCCGTCGACTTTAAAGTTAGTCATAGGGCTGTACAGCATGGAAACAGACCTTTTGGTCTAACTAGTCCATGCCAACCAGATATCATAAAATAACAAAGATCAATCAATCACATAATCAGCTTTCACTCCAGTATTGGCAGCTCAATGTTTAAACAACGATAAAGTTGTGTACAGCCATTAACTAGCACTATCATCACAAAATAATGGAAACACTTAAAATCAGATAGCACTTCAAACAAATCCTTTTGCTTATTAAAATTGATCAACATATCCCCACTTCCTTGGCTTGCAAAAAATTCAAGGATTGAATTTAAACACATGATGGCCTTTAGTATAAATGTAAAAGATCAGTAATATTGTTAAAATTTATAAAATTTTATGAAACTCAATTATTGTCCAACAAATTCTCTAAACCTTCGATACAACTTGGCATCAAATTACCCATGGAAATGTTTTGTCATGGCAGATCACTGTAGGCTTGCAAATAAATAAACATCAGGTTACAAAGATCAGAGCCTTGCAGTAATGAAGTTTATTGTAAAAAGTGAGCAAAAATAAAGTAAATTGGTGGCGAAAACAATGAAAAGTCAAAACGTTGGTTAGGCCCATCTGAATGCTCATAAATATGCAGTGTCTAAGCATATCAAATTCTGTTAATGCATTTTTAATACTCAAGGTATACTTGCCTTTATTGGGGTTGTATACTTGCTCGTCGAGCCGGTGTGTTTGATTGCAGACATTTCGTCACCCTGCTAGGTAACATCGTCAGTGCGCCTCCGTTAAAGCGTTGCTACTCTGTCCCTCTTGTTGTTTATACGCCTCGGTTTGCTCGGGTAGTTGGCATCACTTCCGGAAGTGGTCTGCCATCTTTATTTCCCCATTAGAATGTCCCCCTTTTCTGATTGTAAGAGACCTACATTTGTCTTCGCTAATCCATTCTGTTCACTTGCCAATAGAAGCTCTTATCAGTTTGAATGTTCCCCACATGCTTACCCTCATACTCTATTTTGCCTCCTCTTAACAAATCCCTTTGTCCTTCTTTGCTAAAATCTAAACTACTGCCAAACCTCAGATCTGTTGCTCTTTTGTTTAGTCCAATTCTATATGTCCTTTCCTTGGATTTAATTCTACTTCTGAGTTCCCTTGTTAGCCATGGCTGGCCCAGCTTTTCCCATCTTTAGTTTTGTGCCAGATCGGAATGAACAATAATTGCAGTTCTTCCATGGAGTCATTAAATGGTTTGCCATTGCCTATTCTCCCTCTTCCCTTTAAGAAATGTGGCCCAATTTATTGGAGCTAGCTTGCCCCTCATCATTTCCTCTGTTTAGATTCAGGACCCTAGACTCAATAAATTTTACGTCCCTCTCCATCCTAATGAATTCAATCATGTTATAGTCATCTTTCCTCAAGGGGCCTTTCATAGTTAGATTGCCAATTATTCCTTTCTCATTATATAATACCCCCAGACGAGGATGGCCTTTTTTCTCTACTTGGCTCCTCAATGTATTGATCCAGAAAACCATCCTGTGCACACTTCAGGAATTCCTCCTCTATGGTCTTGTAACTGACTTGATTTGCCCAATCTATATGCAGATTAGAGTTGGGCATAGTTACAGCAGTACCTTTTATTGCCTGCATCCCTAATTTCCTGTTGCATGCCTTTCCAACATTACCACTACAATTTGGGTATCCATATAAAACACCCTCTACAGTTTTCTGCCCCTTTTGGTGTTTCTAACTTCTGCCCATACAGATTCCAATTCACTAGAGCTAACAGCTTTCTTCACTATTGCATTTAATGTTCTCTTTAATATTACCTCACCTCAATTTTTTTCCTTTTCTTTCAGTTTTTAGAATGAATATTCAGGATGTCTATCCTATCTCCAACTCTGGTCACCCTGCAGCCACATCATTGTAATCTCAACTATATCATACTAGTTCATAATAATTTGTGCGACCAATTCATCCACTCGTAATCATTGAGCATTTGCAATAGATACAAGACCTCGCGTGCCTGGAGAAATGGTGTGAGGGGCAGTGATTCAGATTCTAGGGGACATCGTTGTAGTCTTAACATCTTTTAGTCCTGCTGATAATATTTTGCATTGAGGCAGAGAATTCAAGCCATTTGCTTTTTTTTTCTCATTTCTGATGCAGTTGTCTTTCTTTCTTTCTCTACTGTCTCCTTGGATAGGTTCCTATCCCTCTGTTGTTTTAGTATTAAATTCTGCCCGACCATGTTAGCAGATATTCCCCTCAGGATGTCCATTCTGGTCCCACCTTTCTCCAGAAGTGGTTCCAATGCTGCAGGAATCTAAAACCCTTCCCCATTTCACCATTTCTCTAGCCATGTATCCATGTGACATATTTCACTATTTCTACTCTGATTAGTATATAACACTGGTAGCAATTCTGAGATCACTATTTTTAAAGCCCTATTTTTTAACTTGCTTTCTAACTGTCTCTACTATGCTTTCAGGACTTCATTCCTTTTATTACCCATGTCTTTGAAACCGATGCACACGATAATTGAGAGGGTTGTTCACTATTCCCATCTAGAATGCTCTGTAGCCACTTCACTTTAAAATACATTGGTTTTACATACTTTGCTTTTGATATAGAGCTTCTTACATCAGTGTATATATAAATGCAATACGGTTTTTCCTCTTTTTTTTGTTTTCTTCTTTGCCTTGGAGTGTTTATCCTTGCATCAGTAACCCTGAATCCTTTCTAACCTATGTTTAGTAGTAAACACAGTCAGAATACCTGACAGCTGAATCCAACTTGCTGAAGTTTTTAATTAACTTTTCAACTTTTCTTATTTGTTAATGGGAAGTAGATATTACTGGCTAGGCTAATTTTTATTGCCCTTCCCTAATTGCTTTTAAGCCTGCTGAGCTGCGGCTTTAAACCATTGCACTCAATGCGGGGAGGGTGATGTGGTTGGTATAGCCACAGCACTGTTGGGAAAGGAGTTCTCAGCTTTTGAGCCACTTATTTAGTTTGCTGTTGGAAAATCTCAATTTCCAATCTTACAGAAAATCAAAACTATTTAGTATTTTACACTTTTTATTCAACAGTTTGGTTTGATTTTTGCTGGTGCTCAGAAGAACATTGGTTGTGCTGGAGTGACAGTGGTAATAATCAGAGAGGATCTGTTGGGTTTTGCACTAAAGGAATGTCCAATAGTGTTTGACTACAAAGTACAAGAGAGTAGCAATTCTCTTTACAACACTCCGTCAACCTACAGGTAAATAGTTTCTATTTTATCTTGTGTGTCTAAATTGTTAGTGCAGTTATTGGTTCAGTTTATGGTGTTAACATAAGCTGTTCTATGTGGCAGCTTCGTTTTGAGACATCACAACAATTTGTATAAAGAGCATATTTTTGGCAAAATTGAGGCTAATGGTTCCGTATTGTGTATAGGTGGTAAAACAAGTTGGGCAACTGCAAATACTTGGCAAGATGCCAGCACCAAGAAGAAGTAACCTGAGTAGCCCTGCACTACTACTTAGCATTTCAGCGGCTGCTTCATTATTTGTTTGCAGTGTGTTGAATTTGGATTTGTTGCAGTAGCACAGTGAATACAAACTAAACTGTCACGAGACATGTTAACTCTTGTCACTTCAACTTTTTTTTTAAATGCCATACAGGTTTAAACCACTGTCAGTCAACTGGAAAGAGACTCCAGACATGCCAAAAATCCTTTAGATATTAAAAACTTGAGAATTTAAAAATATCTCCAGTTTGCCTCAACCAGAGCTTTTTTTTCCTTTTAAAGTTTTTTTTTCTGCATCTGATTTCTGCATTATTATTTTGCACCTTTTATGTCCCGTTGTTCCTTTTTAAAAAAATTCTCAATACTTCAACCTGAGAGGTTACGAGTAACCACTTGTTCAGTTTCTAGCAGCTCCCACGTTCAGCAGCTTTAAAATAAATCCTAGACTTGTTATATGTTTTAAAGGCTCCCACATTGATGCCCTCCATAGCAAAACCTGAGCCCTTTCAAGCATGTTTCCTTACTGGATACAATGAATATACCTTAAACAGTGCTGAAAGTAAGTTTCATGAAGGACTTGTATTTGCTTCCAGGGTAAAATAGAGTTGGTGTGAAGTCCCTGGAAAATTTATGGCTATTATTATTAACATCTTTTGTACTTGCATTCCTGAACAAAGTTAGGACTTGTAATTCTAGCTTTCAAAAAATAATCCAGCGTATTCGTGCGTTAACTGTATTTATTTTGGGTGACTAGTTTTATATTAGGTTGGAACTTGATGTTCCAAGTGTGTGCATGTGTATGCTTATTCATCTCAGAATGGTGTGTAAACAAAAGGATGGTGGCAACTACCTTAAGCTGTTTCATTGTAAATGAATCAGTAAATATTTATCTACTGAACCTGAAAATATCTTTTTAGCCTTGTTTGCTGTGGTATCTTGCCGTGTCTACAAAATGTGTACAATGTGATAACTTAGATTTGCTTTTCTTTCAGCATTTACATTATGGGCTTGGTCTTGCAATGGATTAAGAAATGTGGTGGTGCTGAAGTGATGGAACAAAACAGTATTGTTAAGTCAAAGCTGATTTACGATGTAATTGATCGATCCAATGGATTCTATGTGTAAGTTTTTTTTCTTTTTATGCTATACAAAACCTTGAACACTAAATCGAGAATTCACGTTAGAACGTTAAACTAAACTTAGTGCAGGAAAATAGCGCTGGTAGTTAGTGAACAAAAAATTGAATCAGAGATAGTAGGAACTGCAGATGCTGGAGAATCCGAGACAACAAGGTGCAGGGCTGGATGAACACAGCAGGCCAAGCAGCATCATAGGAGCAGAGAGGCTGACGTTTCGGGCCTCGACCCTTCATCAGAAAAGGGGGAGGGGAAGGGGGTTTTGAAATAAATAGGGAGAGCGTGGGAGGCGGATAGAAGAGGGATAGAGGAGAGGATAGGTGGAGAGGAAACAAACAGGTCGAAGAGGCGGGGATGGAGCCAGTAAAGGTGAGTGTAGGTAGGGAGTTAGGAAGGGGATAGGTCAGTCCAGGGAGGACGGACAGGTCAAGGGGGCGGGATGAGGTTGGTCGGTAGGAGATGGAGGTGCGGCTTGAGGTGGGAGGAGGGGATAGGTGGGAGGAAGAACAGGTTAGGGAGACAGGCTTTCGTGAGTCAGAAGTACCCTGTACAGCGTTCTTAGCCCCTGACCTGTTTTGTAGGCACAGTGTTAATAAAACTGGTCCAGTCCTATTTCAGGTTGCTGAACCCTAAGGGTTTGATGCTGGTGAATTATATCATTACCAGTCAAGGAAAAAATAATTAGATTCTCTCTTGTAGGAGATGGTTATTGCCTTGCATATGAACAGGCTGTTTTGTTTCTTTTTAGGGGTTTTGTGATTACTGTTGTAGGCAGTTGATGACTTATAGAATTCTTCTGAGTTTATTGAGAAGGAGCAGTATAGATGTAGTACATCAGTTAATTTGGCAAAGAAAGGAAGTATACAAACTGTGACAGATGTGAATGCTTTACCGATCTTGGAGCTGTTCTGTAGAATGGAGGAGTAGAAGCAATGCACTGCCACATCCCAGTGGTCCACTTCTGACTTTTTCTTATATAATGGAGGGAAAGGCATAGAACTTGGGAACTGGAGCAGGCTATTCAGCCCATCAAGCCTAGTCATCGGAGCTGATCATGGTTGATCCTCGGATTCTGCCCTGAGGATTTGCTGCTGTAATGTCCTGGGGTTAAGCTCAATCAGTCACCTACAACCATCTGCATTTTATGTCTCCAGGCAGTTCCCCCATGTCCTTCTTTCCCCTACCACTGCTGTTGACTTCAATTTGCCAGGGTCCTTGATGGTATTATCACACAAATCAAACTTTGACAGTGAAAGGTGTCATTCTGAAATCTGCTCAGTACAATAATTATTTTTGTTAATCTTAGGAGTTTACCTGCTTCAATCTACAGAAGCAGAATGAATATTCCATTCCACATTGGAAATGCTAATGGGGACAGTAGTCTTGAAACGGAGTTTCTTGACAAAGCTGCTAAACGTAACATGCTGTCATTAAAAGGCCACAGGTAAATCTATCCTTACAAATTACATGACTTAAGGTATAGTAGAACCACGATTCTGATATTTGAGTAAATCTTTAGGAATGCCTGTAATAAGTACATTTTAAGAATATACGATTACATAAATGGGTCTCTCAAAATGTGGGATCTGATGTTTATTATAAATTTTTTATTTGTATAAATAGCATTAATTATGTCTGCTGTGTTGTGCTAGGTCTGTTGGTGGAATTCGTGCTTCCCTCTATAACGCTGTGACAGTGGAAGAAGCTCAAAAACTGGCAGAGTTTATGATCGACTTTATGAAGGAACATCATATTTAAGATATTTCAGTTTTGGTTTTAATGATGCATTGTATTTCTACAACAGACTTCCAGGTTTTCAGGAAATACTGGAAAAATTCAGATTTGGTGCCATTGGCGAAAAAAGAAACTTTTTTTTTTGGTTTAGCATTTCTGGTTGCACAACTATAGAACTTGAATACTGCTAAAAAGGTGCATTTTTTTGTCAAAGCTTTTCTCCATGCACACAAGCTAACTTACAATATTATGATTTTCCCTTAAAGTGGTATTCTTGTATGAGGAGAGTGCTGATTGGATAACTGGCAAGTGGCAGCTGATTGAAAAAACATTGCCATGGAGAGTGCATCAATTGATAGTTGGTTGGCCATTAACTGCTATGCTTTCTTTGAATTTCAAACCAGACAAGTTGACTGATAACATTGCCCTGAGAAATGAACCTTGAATGACTGTCAACTCAGCAAAATAGCTGATAGTCATTCACTGGATCATTTTCTCAGGGCATTGTCTTGATCAATCAGTCACTCTGCCTGGTTTGAAGTTTTAAACTAAGGTTGGTGGTTGACGGTCAACCAACTATTAATTGGTGCACTTTCTCTCTCAACACTCCTACCAATTATCCATTTTCTCTCATGCTGTGTAAGTATTGGTTTTCCTCTTAATTCGGTATTCTTGCAAATTGTCCTGGTGAATGCAAGATGAAAAGCTTTGACACTGTCTTTTTTACAGAAACATTCAATTTTAAGCTAATAACACTTTTGATGTTGGTTTATTGACCTTTAAACCTTGGTGCTCTGCAGAACATTTCCAGCATCTTTAACTTGTTGCTTTTACTGTAACTTCTGTGTCATGGTGAAATACATCCAAGATTCTTTAATATAGCATGATTTAAAAAAAAAAATTAGCTTCCTTTCCGAATAACCAGAACAATCCATTCAGTTTATCACTGTGTCTTGGAAATAAACCACGAGTTAGTGAAGGAACCATCACTGAATTAGCCAAGAGCCAAACTCATTACAGAGCTTTTTTTTCTATTATCTATCCCTTCGATCCAGACTGTCCCAAGTAGAGTTAACCTTCTAGGCGACTGAATTGTGGCAATGGAACTCTGCAGGTAAAACTGTGGTTGCACAATTTGTAAGTAAAATAAAACATGAAAACTGTGGATAGAATGTAATTTTATTCTACATTGTGAAGCTGATTAGATCTGAGCAAATCTGTATTCACCAAGGTTTAGAAGGATGAAAGTGATCCGACTGAAATTCTTAAAATTCTAATTTGGCTGGATGTAGTAGATGCAGGGAGGATGTTTTCCACGGTTCGGGAGTCTAGAACTAGGGGACCCAGTCTTAGCATATGGGGTAGAACGTTTAGGACTGAGATGAAGAAACACAAACAGAAGTTGCTGCCAGACCTGCTTTTCCAGCATCTGTGAAGAGAAATCAGAGTTAACATTTCGGGTCTGATGACCCTTCCTCAGAACTGAAAGATCTCTTCATTCAAGATGGTGGTGAATCTACGGAATTCTCTACCATAGAAGGATGTGAAGGCCAAGTCACTGAATACGTTCAAGAATGAGATTTTTAGTTTTAAAAGGCATTGAAATGGGGAGAGAGTGGGAATATGGCATCGAGACAGGATCAGCCGTGATCATAATAAATGGCAGTGCAGGCTTGAAGGGCTAAATAGCCTACTCCTAGTTTCTATATTCAAGACATAATGAAATAGATGTAAAGAAAGATTTTCAGCTCTTTTGCATTAGTTTATTTTTATTGACTGCTGCTCACTGAACTTGGGAACTGCTCATTTAAAACATTTTGACATAAATGGATAGGCTGAGGCTACTTAGAACATTGTATTTTGCTTCGGCATAACTTTGAACTTAATTTAAATTTGATTTGGAAACTATTCTTTTAGGTTAGGAATTTGCTGCCAGGTAGTCATAAAGCACGTATGAATAATTGTACTATAAGAAAACAAGTTCAGCACTTTTCATTTTGAACTCCTCTGGCATGTGCAAATGGACATTGATCCATCAAAAATCACAAACTCTTTCCTTTTCCTTGCCTCATTCCCTTAACCCAACAGTGATTAATATGAGTTTGCTTCCCAAGATGTGAAGATGTTCACTGATTTCAAAAAGAAATTGAAGGAGCATTTTAAAGAAATAAACTTTAAGGGCTGCTGGACAGAAAAGGGGATTGTGACTGACTTGAATTGCTGTATGGAGACTCGGAAATGACTTTCTTCTGTGGTAAGACTCCAATTAGGCCATTTTAACTATGCACACATCAAACTTGCCTGCTGGTCCTACTTAGCATTAAACAAACATAATTTGACATCTAATCCAATTATATAACTAGTAGTGGAAATCTGAGTAAATAGTGGATAAATTTATGAATGTTAAATATTAAACATGCATATCTATTTAAAGGGGTATGTGGAATGATTTGACCCAGAGTAATTCAGCAAATATTCTGATAGCACTGCATTTTTAAAAAAAAACAGTCAGAAAGTTACAGAATGATCTGAACTTTGAAAAGATTTTAGAACAGGTGAAAAACAGTCACGCTTCCTTCCGCGGGATACGCAAAAGGAAACTAACTTTGGGCGAGCAGGAATTATTGTAACAAACTACTTGTGGCATAGAGATAGTAGGAACTGCAGATGCTGGAGAATCTGAGATAACAAGGTGTGGAGCTGGATGAACACAGCAGGCCAGGCAGCATCAGAGGAGCAGGAAGGCTG